AAAAAAAAAAAAAAAAAAAAAAGACCTCCATGCAGGCTGAGTAGTGGCAGCAGTATTTTTTCTTCTGTTCATGAGTGGGTTTTTGCAGAGTGGTGCTCTTATGTGGGAGGCACATGTTCCTGAGCTTAGGAATTGAGGCGGAGGTTTGCAAAAACACAGCCAAATCTGTGATGGAAAGAGAAGGCAAGCGGTCAGGTCAAGTAACCACAAAAATGAGCCAGAAATAGTGACTGGCCTGCAATTTAAATATAAACCCACTACTTACTCTGAGTCAAGTAGGGGAAAAGTTCTTTGTTTGCAGTTCTGCAGAAGAGCAACTAAGTATTATATTTGAATGTTGCACAAAAGCTGGTTTCTACAAGCTCCTTACAAGTAGCTTGGATGAAAGCAATTTTGGATATTGCTTTAAGTTAAAGGGTACCATTAGTGTTATTCAGCATGTTTATTTTTAGGAGTTCTCTTTTTAAAGTCAGGCTCATGTTTTATGCCAGAAAACCAAACTTCTCTCCCTGTGATGTTAGATTTCTTTTGTCCCAGATATATAATATATACGTGGAAAAAGTGTAATGTCAAAATGAGTTTTAAGTTTAACTGCAAACTCATCCTGTAACATTGTGGGGGGAGGGAAGGTCTGATTACATTTTGGAGTTTGGAAAAATGTAATCGTCTAGAGGCTGCAGAGCGTCACTAATATTCTGGAGTCAATATACGTTCCTTTGCAAGCCATGTATGACCCTCCCATGCCTGCAGCAGAAGGAAACTACACTTTACAGATCTATTCTAGCATTATTGCTGTTTTAATCATGAACTGTTTTCAGATGAAGAATGGAAGCCAGTTCTCCTTGTTTTTCCCCTGCTCTTTAGTTTCCATCCAGGCTGGCTCTTTAGCGGTGCAGTTTACTGTAGCTGGAGCAAACTAGGACAGGCCAGTACTTCTGACAGAAACCCATTTACCCATTTCCCTGCTGACCAGTGTGTTGGTAGCAGGAACATACACAACATTAGGAGTCTGGTTGCTGTGGGTGCTGACAGACTGAGGGATTCGAATGGTTGGTTGGCTTATGTGTTCAAGATTCTTTGCAAAATCAAAACTGGGATTAGCCTTGACAGGCAGAGTAACAAGATGTCTGTTAACTGTAACAGGTAGTGACACACTGTTTGTTACATCCCATTCCCTTTTCCAAATTTATTCATTAGCTATTAGGGCTATGTTTCTACCCGGTTTCAGATTTGGTCATTTCGGAGGGACAGTGATTCATTTCAGTGTTTCGGATCACTGGTCCATTTGATTCGGCCTTATCTGTTTAGGAGTTTCGATGCTGTTTCTGTGATTCGGCCATAGGCTATAATGGAAAATCACTAAAATGCCTATAACTTTGTCATTTCTTGCCTGATTAGGATGCAAATTGCAGGGATGGTAGCCCCTTCTGAGGCCATGAAGCCTGCCAAATTTCAAGGAGATAGGTGCAGGGGTTTCTGTGAAAGTGCACTTCAAGCTTCTGAAAGCAAAACTTGTGTCGCGTGTGTGTAGGCAGAGCGGGATGAAACCAGCAGGGATGCTAGCCTGTAACAGGGGGCCTTCCCAGTGCGGATGAAATCTCAGCCTACCCATCTGTTTCTGGGCCAGCCGCTCACCCCTCTTTCGCCTGCGACGCCTTGATGGAAAACCAATTCAGATGTTACCCAGGTGGGAGGCTGCCCGTTTAGGCCCCTGATTTCTAGGGGTAACATCCATTCCGTACCTCCGTGCCTTTCCTACACTGCGGCCCATGCCTCGCAGCTGGCATCCCAGGCAGCTAAGCTCACCTGGAGCCTCACAACTTGACTGCAACCAGTAAGCCTTAGGCCCTTCAAAAATTTTACAGGTCTGGGCTTTCCCTAGCCAGGACTGTGCTTGCGTGTGGTGGTTGGAGGTTGTAAGGTGCCTCCTACTCACCTTTCACTGAAGAGGTTTGTGGTCCTGGCATTTCTTGGGGGCTGCTGCACCACCGGCACTCCCACTAGGCATCCTGACCCTGGCAGGGTGCAGTTCTAGGACATGCCCAGGACCTGGGGTCTCTTCCTCCCCCAAAGTCCCAGCCCATACCTCCAAGTTTCTCCTGGCACGGGAGCTCAGCAGGGAGATGTTCTACCCCTGCTGGCTGGTGATACAGTGAGTGCTGCCTCCAGCTCTGAAAGCAGGGCATTAAATTGTTTAAAAAAATAAATAAAAAGGAAATATGTGCAGATAGAATGAGGAGGGTGGCATTCACTTCATCTGCACGTGGAGTTTGGGGAACACCAGCAGTGGGAGGTTCACCTTCAGGAACACCAGCTGCTCCACCAAACCAGGGTCCAAGGATGCGCAGTGATGTGTCATAACATTCCTAGCAATGCTGAACACCCTGTCACTCAGAACACTGGTCAGTGGACAGGACAGGTGTTCCCAGGCAACTGTGGCCAGATCCTGCCACATCTGGCTGCGGCTTGCCCAGTAAGCCAAGGGGTCACACAGCAGTGTCTCCACATCCTCGATGAGATAGGTAGCCACCAAGGCCTTGGTGCTACCTGCCCCATGTTGGGTCTGGTGCCTCTGGACCCCAACGTAGAAACCATGCCCTTGGCCCACATTGGCAGCGCCTGTGGTGGAGGAGACTGGCTGCTGGATGGAGTGTTGGTACGGGACAGTCATTCTCCCTCTTCCATGTCCCCCCGCTTCTGCCCTTCCACCTCCCTGACTCTGTTCACCAGCACCTCCATCCAGTGATCCAGGGTTTTGCTGGCGTACACACTCCTCTTCACCCTCAGGTCACACATGGGTGCCAGCACGTAGACCGTACTGGACTGCAATGGATCCAGCCATTTCTTGATGCCCTCCTTTAGCTACTTCACCTCCTTCAGCCTGTACCTCAGGTGACAGCAGCTTGCACCAGCCAGGAACATCTTTCCCCTGGCACTAATCCATTTGGTTCTGAAGCTCCCTCACTATGGGGATCACTTGGCTAAAGAAGGCATTGCCAGCACTGAGGCTTTCAGTGATCTTGAGAAATGGCTTGAGGACCACCAAGATCTGGGAGATGGTATCCCACCCTGTTTTGTTAAGGGGACTTCTGATCCCAGTCTCCCCAAGCAATTCTATCGCATGGATAGCCTTCTGTTGCCTGACCAGCCTTTCAAGCATCAGGTATGTGGAGTTCCACTGAGCCTCCACATCCTGCAAGATTTTGTGCTGCGGGATGCTTAGCTCTGCCTTTTTGTCCCACAGCATCTTGCCCCTCTTGATACTCTGGTGGAAGTAGCCTGCCACCTTCCTGCATTTTGAAATGTGCTGACTGGTTGTGACGGTGCCCTCATCAGGAGCCCTGTCCCTATCCAAGGCATCCCTGACTATGAGGTGCGCCTTGACCATATTGGCCCCATTGTCGATGATCATGAACCCATGGGTGAACTTGCCCTGCCCAATGAGCCACCCCTGAACCATGCGGTTCATGGTCCCCATGATCTCCATTGCCATGTGGGATTCATCCAGCACCTCTGCTTGAAGGAGAGCCCACTGATGGCCTGACTGATCACACCAGTGCCTTGTGAGGGAGAGGTAGGCATGATCTCCACCCCAGCTGCTCCAGATGTTCAAGGTGAAGTGCAAGGCCACCTGTGGACCTGCCTTGCACAGCTCTTCCTTCAAGTATTCGCTGCATGCTTCATACAGGGAGAGCACCACCATCCTGCTGAAGTTGTGCATGCGGGCACATGGTATGATGGGGCCACAAGTGCCATGAGCTGCCTGAACCCTGGCCACTCAACTAGGGAGAGTCATACTATCATGGAGAAGTGAAACCATCTGGATAAACACAGAGGCATTGAGCCTGCGTGCATTTGATAGTCCTAACTTGACATAAGCAGCCTTGAGATCCTCAGATCTTGAGCCACCTGCAAGGTTGGAAGCACAACATCCTAACCACTAGGGGTGTGTGAAGTAGGTCCTATTCGAATCGGACTTGGATTCAGGCCAAATCAGGGGCAGTGATTCGATTTGCTGATTCAGATCAGTGTCCCTGATTCGATTCAGCCGAATCTGAATCTGAAGATTTGATGCTGATTCAGAGAATCGGTGATACTGACATAGACAGAGCTTTAAATGCTTTTTCTACATACCTTGAGGTACCAGCGTGGCTCGTGAACAGTGCGATGCTGCGGCGCATGGAGCGTCCCACAGGAGTGTGTGCGAGCTCACAGGTGGGGACACGTGCTCAGCGGCGAACCCGAAGGGGACCAGAAGTACTTCCAGTCCACTTCTGGGTCCGCTGAGGAGTGCACGGGGGCCCCCTGCAACCCCCCCAGCTCAGAGATCGGCCACAGGGGGACACTGGGTGCCCCCCCAGACCCAGAAGGCATCAGCTGCCAAGCCAAGGGGGTGCAGGGGAGCCCCCAGCACGCTCTCTGGCAGACCCAGAAGTGGACCGGAAATGCTTCTGGTCCACCTCCAGGTCTCCTGCTGAGTGTGCTGGGGATTCCCCTACGCTTCTGTGGGACCCTCCACGTGTCCCAGCATCGCAGCATTCACAAGCTGCCTGGCACCTAGAGGTATGTAGAAAAAACGTTTAAAGCTGTGTCTATGTCTGAATCACTGAATATCTCCCAATTGATTCAGAGGGTTTAATTTGGAAAGATTAAAGGGTCCTTTGATTCAATTCAGATTAGAAGATTCAGCCACCAAATCGGGCCAAATCTCCACCAAATCGAATCAAGGACTGAAGTTTTGCACAGCCCTACTAACCACTCCTCAGAGAGTAACCTCCTTATGAAATGATCCAGGGATGTCCGTATGTTTTAGTGTATGGTTTGGTCAAATGCACGTGGCTTTTTTATAATGAAGGTCCTTTGTCATTGATTTCTATTAGCTATGGGAACAAATTGGGAGGCCATATATTTAAGGGAAAACATTCTTTTAAAATTATCTTTTATTTATCACTAAGAACAGACATTTCTTCCTAGTAGTTGTCCAGGTTTAATCAACTAACTTGTTTGGTAAAATATTTAAAAAATAACATTAATTAATAATGCAAATCCTTAACCAAATAACTTCTCAGCATATGAAAATTACCAGAAAACTGGGGCAAAAGTGATTATTAAATTATTTAATATGGCTCTCTTAAAATATTCCATGCTTTTTAAAAAACATCTGTCATATCTAATTCTCAGTTTGCGTCAAAAGAATTTAAGACGTGTTTGTCCATCACTTCTTCCAGGGACCTTTTCAAATGTAAGTCGCTTTTTCTTAAGCTGTGGTACCTGTACAAGTCCTAAACCTGGAAAAGGGGGGAAAAAAGAAAGGTGTGATTTATCTAGCAAAGTGTCATAGGTATGTTTTTCTCAGTAGTAATAACAGGTGACATCTTTACAACTAAGGAATAAGAAGACTGACCCAGACTGACCCTTACTATTAACAGTCTTTGCTGCACATGCATTTTGCAACTTTAAAATGGAAATTAATTTACAAAAGTCATAAATCAGTCTATGATGCTGTACTTAAAAACTGTTACGTTTCAGGGGCTTCTCGTGTTTGCTTCTGTTAGATTAATACTGTATTTGGGATGGTCTAATAAATGTGAAACTAGACATTTTTCAGCAGAGACAAAACACTGTGTTGTTCTCCAGGTAGTAAAAGGGGGCAGCACTTGAAATTACAAATACTTTTTAAAGAAAAATATTTCTGTCTGTTCCTTCATGTCACAATACAGAAATACTGAGTATAGCATGCTGGATACCCCTTGCAAGAGATAAAAATCAAGCAACTTTAATACAGAGCTAGAAATTTGAGCAGCTGCAATGGAAATACTTACCTGGTGCACTGCCCTGAGGTATGACACATTTAATAAAAACATCACCTGGTTTCTAAATTGCAGATACCCTTACTGGCTCTCAACATTGATTTTTTAAGACCTATCTTGAGCTTTTACAAACTCTGAAACATAAAAGTTGAATGAAATTTCATGCAACTGGACCATTCTTTGTGACTATGCACAACTGTCTAATACGTGAGTTTGTCTTTAGCAGTTTTCTTTTGGCTCCTAAGTACTGAACTAGAATGAGCCCATTCTATCAAAAGCCAAGACAAAAAACAAAGCCCGTATCTTTGCTGCTTTAATCGGTTTTCATCTTTGTTTATGCATGTGCTGTAAGAGTCTTTGTATTCTGCAGTTTGTTGAATAGGAGGTCACCTGCTTCTCAGCACAGTGGGATGCCTGGTGGCAGGTGATTGATTCCTATACAATTGCTTATTGAAGGGAAAACTTCCATTTCCATTTGCTGCAGTATTATTATCCACCAAGCAGTGCCTCACACCTCCCAAGGGAATGACAGCCAGTTTGTTTCCAGGTCCCTTATTATCACCTTAATTCCCAACCTCCCCCCTCCCATTTAAAATTACAAGCAGCACACCATATTTCAACTGACTCTGCCAGCTTGTCTTAACCCTTGAGACAGGATGATATCAATTAGTTATTGGTGTTTTCATAAAGGGTTCTCGTACAATTAGTGAAAGTTCTTGGGCATTGCATAAGCTTCTCTGTAGAGTGAAGAGATTAAAATGAGAGTGACTGAGAAAATATGAAAGAATTTTAAGTCAATTACTAAATTTGAGTATACAATGGAACACTGCTCACACTTCCTGAATATACTAGGAATATAACCAAGATTAAACTTTCAAATGTTAAAGGATAATAATAAGGGCAACATGCAAGGGTGCATCCCTTTTTAGGAATATAAAGGTTCAATTGACATGCACAGATTATTTAATTTATTTACAGCTGATTTAATTTATAATTTATAACCTGTTTCTCCAAAGATCTTGTCTTCTATCTAGATATTTCTGTTTTTAGTATAGATAAAGACTGATCTCAGCAGATTTTCACAAGACTTAACTATACCTGTTAAAACATCTTTTTCCTTAAGGTTTAATAAAGATTCACCAGGCCGCCTCTTTCTTGAAGATTCTCTAGCTTTTGGGTAAAAATTTAGATTTCTTTGTTCATTTGGATTAGCAAATGAATCACAGAGACTGAAGTCAGGTGCAGATGAATCCAATGTGTGATCAGATGGATACTTAGGCCAGAGAGACCCCTTATCCTGAACTCCTGCACTGCTGTCTGCCATCCCTGCAAATTTTTCTAGAAAATTCTTGGAACTTCCCTGGAATGAAAACTCATTAAAGCTTGCAAAAAAATCATCTTTTTTAGAGACAAGATACCATTCCTGCTTGGAAGCCTGATCAGAGTTACAATGCATTATCAGTGGTTGTGTCTGTACATGAAATAAATGATTGTTAATATCCTGATGAGCAAAGGCCTCAGAGTTCTTTGGAAGGACCGAGGAATCAGAGGTATCCAGCTTGCTGCCTACTGCTGCATTTGAAGCATGAAACTCTTTTTGCAGGTAACTTGAAAGGTTGGAGTCAGTGACATCTTGGCTGTGACTCAGTGGTGGGATTCTGGCTTCATAATTCACATGAACTGAAGTAGTAAATATATTTGAATTGTTCTGTTTTAAAAATGAGGGACTAACTGCTCTCTCTGTTGCTACATTTCTCAGAGAAGGAAGATAATGGTGACTATTTTCACTACCATCCGTTTCTTCAGGACAACTGACCCATCCATAATAAGGTAGTGAAGATGCTAAAATTGTTTGGCTTTCACTTGATTTCAGTGGAGAACCAGATCCATTTTTGTAAAAATCCCAAGACTGATTTATGGTGTTCTGTACATTATCAGGCAATTCTGAACACTGATCCTTCTGGTTTCCTTGAATGCTGGAGGTCAAAGACTTGGGAAATGAAGCCGGAGAAAAGGTGTTAGACACGTTCCAGTTTTCTTGGGGAGATACAATCCTCACTAGTGTTTTGGTCGGAGTGGAAGAATTTAGGTTGTATAGAGATGTGATATCACTAAAAAGCTGAAATGAAAGAAATAGGTTAAAGGAATGTTAGTATCTAGTTCCATAATATAAAATCCAAAAATAAAATCAGTTGTCAAGTTCCCAAAGTGTACGTATGTAGTTTCCTTTACAAAAGAAAAAAGAAAATGGTGCCCTACCAGTTATTAGAGAAGAGCTAAAAACAGTCTGTTACTAGGGTCTACCGATTAACTGGCTTTCTAGAACAAGCCAAATGATGAGCACAGGTAATACCCAGGTAAGTGACAGGGGTCAAGGCAGACTTAGGAACAAGGGGGTGGCACAGGCACCTACAGGAGGCCTCAAATGCTTCTACACAAATGCTTGAAGCATGGGAAATAAGCAGGAGGAACTCACCCTCCTTCTAGCTAGCAAAAACCCAGAACTAGTGGGGCTCACGGAAACCTGGTGGGATTCTACCCACGACTGGGCAGTGGACATCCAGAGATACAGGCTGTACAGGAGAGACAGAGTAGGGGTAAGGGTGGGGGGTGTAGCACCATACGTCAAAGAGCAATACACGTCCTCAATGATCAGGATGGGGTTGGAGGAGGGGCAAAATGAGGCGCTCTGGGTAAGAATGCAAGGGGGACATGGGGAAAGGAACTTGTCAGTGGGCATGTACTACAGACTGCCTCACCAGGGGGACGAGCTGGACCTGGAATTCTCAGGTCAGCTCACAGAGGCTGTAAAGCCAAGGGATGTGGTTGTTATGGGTAACCTAAACTACCCAGATATCTGCTGGGAGAAGCAGTCAGCCAGGTCCGACTGCTCACGTGGGTTCCTAACTGGGATACAGGACCTCCACCTAACCCAGGAGGTGCATAGTCTCACAAGGGGAAATGCCTTGCTGGACTTGGTCCTTGCCACACGCGACGACCTGGTGAGGGGTCTGTGGGTACTTTACCACCTAGGTGAGTGATCATCGCCTACTGGAATTTACTATCCAGCGCAGGGTGGTGAAAGCAAGCAGCAAGGCAGGGGTCCTCAACTTCAGGAGGGTCGACTTCTGTAAGCTAAGAAGGCTGGTAGGAGAGGCATTGGGGTCTCAGAGCCTTGATGAGATGGGGGTCCAAGATGGATGGCTGTTCCTCAAGGAGACAATCCTCCAAGCTCAAAGGGAGTCAGTCCCAATGCGCATAAAGGAGGGCAGGAGTGCTAAGAAGCCTCCATGGCTCAGCAAAGGCATCCAGGGATGCCTGAGGGCAAGAAAGGAGGTGTACAAACAGTGGAAGCAAGGGGCTAACACCAAGGAGGTTTACACCTCTGTTGCTCGGTACTGCAGGGAGGCAGTTAGGAAGGCCAAGGCAGAGATGGAGCTAGGGCTAGCAACCAGAAATAAGGATAATAAAAAGTCCTTTCTCAAATACATAGGGAGTAAGAAGAAGGCACCAGGTAATGTGGGGCCCCTACAGGATAGGCGTGGCAATCTAGTGATTGCGGCAAACGAAAAAGCTGACCTCTTTAATGAATTTTTTTGCCTCCATATTCCTGAACACAGAATGAGACATTTCCCCCACCAGAATTGCGGACGGAACCAGAGGCCGCACCGCCATGCCTAGGGTCAAGGATGACCTAGTTAGGGAACTCTTGGAGGGGCTGGATGTAATTAAATCAGTAGATCCAGATGCTCTTCACCCGAGGGTGCTGAGGGAATTGGTGGGGGTCATAGTGGGGAACCTGGCATGGATCTATGGGCACTTGTGGGGCACTGGCCAGGTACCAGAGGATTGGAAAAGGGCCAATGTGGTCCCCATTTACAAAAAGGGGAGGAAGAAGGACCCCAGAAATTATAGGCCAGTTAGTCGTACCTCGGTCTTTGGGAAGACCTTTGAGAAAATTATCAAGGAGCACATCTGCAAGGGTCCAGCAGCAGATGTAATGCTCGGATGTTACCTCTTAGCTCCATGTTCTTGGGGAACCCTGACACAGGATGCAGACTGTTTGACTCACAAAGAGTCCCCACCCTCCCCTC